TGTGCCTCACTTTCCTCATCTGTAAAATGAGAGAGTTGGCCTCTGAAGTCCTTTCTGTCTCTAAAACAATCCTATAATCCAAGTCTCAATTATATGCCTAAAGTGAAAAGATGAAGAAAATGCTTTAGGGTTTTCGTCACCATCAGCTAGGTTGTTTCTCCTTCTTTAAAAGAGTGGAAGTGATTTCTATTTTTCTTTGAATTCCAAATGCTTACCATACTTCCAGTACACAGTAAGTGCTTAATATATGCTTGTTGATTGATTAATGATAAATGTAATAAAAGAATTTCAAATCACAATTTTCACGTCCCTGATAGAGAGCAAAGCTAGTCCAGTGAGTACCTTAGAAATCAGATTAAGAAAAACAACAATAGTCTTTGATATACCTATGGAGCATCAGGCTCATATTGTAAGTCCTAACCAAAGGGACCCACCCACGGGAAAGTAGCTTAAGTACCTTTTCTCCTGCCTGGAGAGAGTGAAAGACTGAGTCTAGCCTGCTATGCTTTAGAAATCAGAATCCATCGGGGAGTTGATCTGCTTCAAAGTTCCTGCTTAATCACTGAGCCTTCCCTCCCCCTTCATCAGCTTAGCAACAAACAAGCTCTTTGGACTTTGAGGCTTTGGGTTTCCCATTTGCCTGAAAGAGAACAAAGGGGAAAGGGGGTAAGGACTAGCACCACAGGGAGAGTTCCATGTGTTGGCAAGAGGAAGAAGGGATTTTTTATAAATCCCCTTTTTGGATTGACACAGCTCTTATTTTCTCTCCCTCCTCCCCTTTTTACTGTTTTAACCTGCCTGAATGGTGGGAACTGAGCTATGAAATTAATTTAATATTCCCAAATTATTATTCCATGACATATGTATTTCCTGTGTTCCAGTAGAGTATTTAATATAATTTGCTACTAAGGGATGCCAGGGGTAAGTGATTAATTCCCAGATGTTTTGAAATTAGAAAGAAAAAAAATAACATTTTATATTGCTGTTCTATGGCTTTTGATCTAAAATGAGACACTGTGAGTCTGTGTATACTGTGCGGTTCCTCCCACTTATCAAAGATCTCAAGCAAAGAGACCTCAGATATTATGGAGTTCAATCTCTTCATTTTACAAATGGAGGAAACTGAGGCCCAGGGACATTAAAGAATCCTAGCATCTGAGAGTTATAAGGAACCTCAGTACCATCTAGTCCAATCTGTATATGAAAAGAATTCCCATTATAAATGGTCTGCCCAAGCTCATATAGCTAGTAAGCATCAAAGGTAAGATTTGAATCCAGGCTCTCTGACTCTAAAGCTAGTGGTCTTTCCACTGTACCACAATGTCCCCCTCCTCAGACTTAGAAATCCTACCAGTATGCTGGGTCTCCTCACAATCCCTCTGGAATTTTCACTGATTCTAAATAGTATGAAATGTATATATACATATATGGTGTCACAGTGGATAGAACACTGGCCTTGGAATCAGGAAGACTCATCTTCATGAGTTCAAATCCAGCCTTAGATACTCGCTAGCTGTGTGACCCTAGGCAAGTCACTTGACTCTGTTTGCCTCAGTTTCCTCATCTGTAAAATGAGCTGGAGAAGGAAATGGCAAATCACTCCAGTATCTTTGCCAAGAAAACTCCAAGTGGGGTCAAAGAGAATCAGATACAACTGAAAAACAATTTAACAACAAAATAAATGTATGTATACACATATACGTGTATGTATATATATGCACGTGTATCTATAGGTCATATATACACAAATATATATGTGACACACATACGTGTGTGTATATATATATGCATATATACTGGATAATATTTATATATATGTGTGCATGTGTATGTGTGTGTTTTATATATGCATATAATACTATCCAATCTAATTTTAAAAGCCAATTCTTTTCTTCCTCTCCTCAAGTATTTCTTTATTGTTCATATCTCATGGGGCTTTCACAGTATCTCCTCTAGAAATGTTGTCCCTCAAACAAGATAAATTGGTACTACCCTAACCTATCCTATGCTATGCAATCCTAAACTCTCTATCTCCAGACATTGAACATTTTCACAGGTTGTCCTCTGTTTCTAATGCCCTCCCTCCTCAGTTTCACTTCCAGTTTCCCTGGCTTCCATTACATCTCAGGTAAATTCCTACCTTCCACAAGAAACTTTGCCCAGTCCTCCTTAAGCTTAGTAATTTCCCTCTGAGACTACCTCCAATTTATAGTTTGTATATAGTTGCTTACATGTTTTCTCTCCCATTAGATTGTGAGCTTCTTGAGAGCAGAGGCTGGTTTTTGCCTTTCTTTATATCCTCAGCACTTAGCCCAGTGCCTGGCGCAGAGTAGACTGCCTATCCTTACTGCAAGCCAGTGTCTTCCCTTCTGCAACTTTTGTCCACTGTTCCTAACTAGGCCTCCTAGGAACAAATAGAACATGTCTTAATCCTCCTCCAAGAGACTTGGACATGAGTTTTGTAACCTGCCTGAGCCTTCTTTTCTTCAGGTTAAATATTTCCAATTCCTTCCATCGGTCCTCACACAATTGATCAGTACCCTTACCTTTCTGATCACCCTCCTTTGGACGCTTTAGAGTTTATCCATGCCTTTCCCAAAATGTAGTGACCAACACTAAAGACAATGCAATTAGCTGTGGTAAGAACTGGGCCTGACCAGATTCATTAAAATCCTGGGTTAACATTTATACATGATAGACTTGTTCATACAAAAGGGTACATTTTCAACGTCATGAGTTCAATTTGTTTGGTACTTATAACCTTAGAAGCTTTCTCATTTATATGTACCATTGATCCCAAGGTTAAGGGCAATGTGGATGGGCTGACAAAAATCTAACACCATCAGAAGATAGTATTTCCCCAATCTTCCAGTGTAGTAACCTTATCCAAAGAGAGAGAGAGAGACAGAGAGAGAGAGAGAGACAGAGAGAGAGAGAGACAGAGAGAGAGAGAGAGAGACAGACAGACAGACAGCAGACAGACAGACTAGGCTAGACAGCCAAAACCCATTCTTGATATTTCAATACTAGCTCTTTGGAATCACTGCTTCCCTTTCTAAGTGCTCACAAACCATCCCTTTAATAGGAAAGTCTAGTATTTTGATGAGAATCAACAGCCAGCTCACTTATCTTTAGTTTGAAGACACCCTAAAAACTAAGATGCTGTATGTCCTTCCTGAGTCCTGTGGCACCTTCCCTGTTAGATTTTTCAAAAATCTAAAATTATCTTGGGTCGAGAAAACTATTCAGAAATTTTACCAAAAGGAAAATAGTCAAACATTTATTAGCACTAGAAAATACAAATAGCTTCCTAATAATTAGAGTTGTACAGAAATGGCATGGGCTGCCTGATGCAGTAATTCAATTCAATTTTTAAAATCATATTTTAAACTACTCTGTGCAAACCATTGTTCAGAATGCTGAGTGACCTTCAAAGACTGTAGGAGTGTGGTCCTAGAGCTGGAAGGGGCCTCAGAATCTGTCAAGTCCAAACCCCTCTATTCAAATAAGGATCTTACAATTATGTCTCTGTCCTCAAGGGGCTTACAATCTAATAATAAGCTCCATGTGACTAGAAGGGTGTAATTAGTAGATGGAAGGTGACTCTCAGGAAAACTCAAATAGAATCATAGATCTAAGATTGGAGAGGCCCTCTAAAGCCATCTGACCCAAGTCCTTCATTTTTTTAGATGATGAAATTCAGCATCGGATTGCTAAGTGAAATATTTGTTCACGGTCACACAGGTAGTAAGTAACAAAGCAGAGGATTTGAACCCAGAACCTCCTGACACCAATTTTGGAGATCTTTCCACTATATGAAACTGCCTGCTAGTTGTAGAGAAAGTCCTTGTATTGAGTAGAAAATGAGACTATGACCTCAAAGCCCTGTTCCAACTTTTAACTGGATTCTATGATGTTAAATGACTTATATGCAAGCTCAGTAATGTGTTGTGTATTATTTCTTAGGTGAAGAGTGGAAGGGGAAATTTTTCTTAGATAATTAAATTCTGTGGGACTCCTATAACTAAATCTTTACTATATCCCTTTGAGAGCATAACCCTTAGTGAGAGATAAGAAAACTGCATCCGAAAATAGTTCTCTGTAAAAGAACAGAGTGTGGTGATGATAAGGGTGAAAAGTATCTATAACTCAGGTTGGAGTTTATTACTTTTTCATTTCTTTTGCAGCTTCAGAAACGGTAAGGTCACATCTGGCTTTGTGTTTTAATTGTTTTCTGTCATATCAAACACTAGAGTATTTCTCAAATGACTCCTCTACATGAATCCTAAATTATTTGAGGGGAGGGAGTGTTGGGGGGATTCTTTTGGACTGGACCTATGATTTCATCAGTGTGAGGAACTTCAAGTATAAAAACTCCCTTCACCATTATAGACCAGCCACTGCTCTCCAGCTTCATCTTAAAGAGTTACCAGGGCACTGAGAGGTAGGCACATTGCTCAGTCACACAACTAATAGGTGTCAGAGACAAGAACTGGGTCCAGGTCTTCCTAAGTCAAAAGTAGACACTCTGTTCACTTCACTTGTATTTGGTATCTATCTGGTTAGAGAGATTCCATCCTTATGAATTTATATTAAATCATTAAATGTAAGGTCTTTTAATTTTGTGGGTTCTAACACATATTATAGATTCAAAATCAATAATGCTTAGCCAACAGAAGCCTTTGTGAAAAAGAAAATACTGCAGTGGTTTTAATAACAGTAAGTGGGACTTAGTAGCAGTAAGTATGGTCTAATAACAATAAATTGGTTTAACTTAACATCTAATCTCTCTGACAGTATTATGAACAGGTTTAGATCTCTTGGACCTGAGTGACACAAACCCAAAATAAAACAAAAATCAATAGTGCTTAGCCAACAGAAGCCTTTGTGAAAAAGAAAATACTGTGGCAGTTTTAATAGCAGTAAGTGGGACTTAGTAGCAGTAAGTATGGTCTAATAACAATAAACTGGTTTGACTTAACATCTAATGTCTCTGACAGTATTATCAACAGGTTTAGATCTCTTGGACCTGAGTGACCCTGTGTCACAAACCCAAAACAAAACAAAGAAACTAGAGGCTACGCCAAAAGCTTCAAGCCACAAGAAGAAGGCTGATGGTTCTGACCTTATCAGCACCGATGCCGAGCAGAGAGGCCAGCCTCTGAGAATCCCAGAGACATCATCGTTAGATTTAGGTAAGGTTAATCACATTCATATGCTACAGAGGCAGCTGGGCTGTAGCTATGGATTTGGCTGCCACCATATTCAGCCGTGCTGCTAAACAGACCATGTTTGCTTCACTTGATTCGCACGGCCCCCAGAGCAGTGCACCCTGCAGATGGGCCCTCCTAGTCAGTGCTAAGGAGGATAACAGCTCCCCAGCCATATGTGCCTCACATGGCTTAACATTGCATGAGTGCCAATGCAACAAGGGAAAAGCTACATAAATAATATAAAAACATGAGCCAAGGTAGGCAGAGTGAGCCAGCTGTGTATGACTGAGCTGATTTCACTCATCCTTTATGACATAGGTTGAGAGACAGATATGTTAGTGACTGGCAACCTCATATATAGATTCAAAGAACCACCTGAGTGCAGGTTGAGTTATAAATGAAGACCCCATGGGCAGTACCAGTCACTGGCAATTAGAGTCCTTGAAGGTCTGTATGCTCAGTATCTCACTTGAACCTCACTACTAACCTGGAAGGCAGGTATTACAGGTGCTATTACCTCCACTGGGCAGATGAGAAGCTAGAAGCTCAGCTCAGAGAATCGGGAGCCCAAAGGGACCTCTGATGTCATCTAGTCCAACCTGCTCATTTTACAGGTGAGGAGACCAAGACTAAGAGAAGTTAAGGTCATGTAGGTTAAGTATATGGCAGCAGCACTGGGATTTGAATCCAGTCCTCTTTCTACCCTACGACTCATTTCATAGGCTTATAGACTTAAAGCTAGAAGGGACCTAAGAGATCATCCAATCTAAAACTCTCATTTTACAGATGGAGAAACTGAGACCAACAGTGTTTAAGGTCGCACAGGTTAAGCATATGGCAGAGCTGGGATTTGAATCCAGTCCTCTTTCTACCGTACGACTCACTTCGTAAGCTCATAGATTTAAAGCTAGAAGGGACCTGAGAGATCATCCAGTCTAAAACTCTCATTTTACAGATGGAGAAACTGAGACCAAGAGAGGTTAAGGTCACATAGATTACATATATGACAGCTATACGATTTTAATCCAGGTCTTTAAATTTCAAATCCAGTGCTTTTTCCTCCACATGACTCTTATTTCATAGGCTCATCATTTTAAAGCTGGAAGGGACTTTCAGATCATCCAATCTAGAGCCCTTATTTTGCAGATTAGGAAACCAAGGTTCCAATCATCGTATCATAGATTTTGATCTAGAAGAGACCTCAGAAGTCATCTACTCCCACCCTCTCCCTTCACAGGTGAGAAAAGTGTGAGCCACACAAGAAGTAAGAGGCAGGATTTGAACCCAGATCTTTTGACTCCAAATGCACCATTCTAATATATTGAACCCAGATCTTTTGACTTCAGAGAATCATCACAACATCGACTGAGTGCTGGAAGGGACGTTAATGGTCATCTAATCCCTCCTGCCCAGTAAACTATAAACTCTTGGAGAGCAGACACATTTTCTTTCTGTCTTTGTATACCCAGTGCCCAGCACAAATCCTGGCACAGGATAGGCACTTAATAAAAGGTCTCAATTCATTGATTTGTGTCCGCATTGCCTAGTACAATGTTTGGCAAATAGTGGCCATTTAATAAATGCCAGATGAATGAATCAACAAACCATTTTACACATGGGGAGACTGAGGCTTAGAGAAAGGGAAGTGGCTTGCCTATGGCCACAATGCTAGGAAATATAAGGAATGGAATCCTACCCCAGAATTCTCCTCAAGAGCAGTCACATCTGCTGCCAACCATTGCCCTTTCTGTCTTCCTCCTTTCTCTAAAGCAGTAGCATTAATGGCTTTTGGCTTCCATTGGCCATGGCAGGCTCCATATCCCTCAAGTTCTGTGCTGCAACAGGGGAATTCTGAAGTTGGTTGTAAGGAGTGTGTAAAGGTTTTTTGCCTTCATATTCCCCAGTTCAAAAATTTACTATAAAAAGAAAGGGAAGAAAAACACAAAAGTCACTCACTGAAATAGAGGGATTGTCTTTATTAGTAAGGGAGAAAGGAGAGATGGGAAACAGCATTAATAAATGTTCTGTGGGTGGTGACAAGGAATGAAAAAGGCAATGTTGCATAGTAGGTAGAGCCCTGGCCTTGACATCAGGAAGAGCTTAGTTCAAGACCTGCCTCTAACACTTACTAGTTGTGTGGCCCTGGGCAATTCACTCAACCTCTCTTGAGTCTCAGTTTCTGCAACTGTAAAATGGGCATAATAATAATCAGTCAACAAGCACTTACTATGTGCCAAGTCACTGTGCTAAGAAAGGGGAAACAATCTCTCCCTTCAAAAAGCTTACATTCTAATAGCACCTTCCTTGTAGGGTACTACTGAAATCACTACTGTCCCTACAGTATTTTACAAACCTTAAAGCTCGTATATGTATATCTATGATATATGTTATCAGATATTATTAGCAGGTCAAGTGTTGTACTGGACCATGGTAGGGGGAGGGGGAACAGGAAGCAGAACACTGTTGCTTTGGAATAAGGAAATATACACAGAGACAGAGAGACATTGGAAAAATGGGGAGAATCTCACCAGCCTCTCCTCACTCCCTCCTCCCCACCTCCTTGTCCTCAGATATATACTTTGGCCAAGAATTTACCTGCCATCAAAAACCTGGAGTCACAGAAAACCAAAGGGTTATGAAATTGTCTCTTGGCTTCTTTCAAATTCAAGACTGTGTTCAGAGTAAAGTCTACAGTAAGGTTTTATTTACCTGTGTTCTTCCCTGGGGAACACAGTGCTGAATCGACTAAATGCAAAGTGTTGGAACTTTCCAAAAGTATTAAGCCAGATATGTACCAAAGTTCTCCTGGCCGGAAGAATGAAGCCAGGACAAAAGCTTCTAGGTTTGACTGAAAGGTGACTGCCTTCACTCCCTATCTCTTCTATCAATCCCCCTTCTTTGGAAGACCAGCTTATAGACATAACTACTTCATTACCTCCACCCCATCACTGTCTCCTGTCTTGGTACATTCTAAATGAACCAAAAGCACCTAGCAGAACCCTTGGACTTCTTAAAAAATATCCCATGACGTTCTCTCCATTATAAAATGTTAAGAGGTAGAGAGAACCTGAGAAACCATCAAATCTAGCAGTTTAATGTAGTGGAAGAAATACTGATTCTGGAGTCGATGGTCTTGGGTTCAAATATTGCCTCTGATGACTACTCTTTATGTGACCTTGGGGTAACTTGCCTCAACCTCGCTGGGACTCAGTTTCCTCATATGTAAAAGAAGAAGATTAGAGTAACTGGCTACAGAGGACCTTCCAGTTCTAAATCTATGACAATTTGGAAAATTCTACCCACATCCAGAGAGGGAATTGATGGAGTCTGAATGCAGATAGGCATACTACTTTCACTTTTTTTCATTTTTTTTCCTCTTTCTTCTGTTTCTTCTTTAACAACATGACTATTATGGAAATATATTTTACATACATAACCTAAATTAAATCACTTACCCTCTTAAGGAGGAGGGAGAGGAAGGAAAGGAAGGAGAGAATTTGGAATTCAAAGTTCTATTTTAAAATGAACATTAAAATTGTCTTTATGTGTAATTGGATAAAACAAAATGCTATTTAAAAATAAAACAGTAAAAAATAATATTAAAAAATCTATGATCATTGTGCTTTACAGATAAGGAAATAGCAACCCAGAGAGGAGGGTCAATTTGTCCAAATTCACTCAACTTCTTAGTAGCGTAGTTAGGACTAGAAGCCAAGGCAACGTGCTAAAACCTTTCTTTATCCTAAAGAATTAGGCCACAGATAAATTTTCTAAGTGTTCTTAGCCTTCTTAGTTGCCTCTCTCTTTTCGGTCTCTCTCATGCTTTTGCAAATCCCTTCATCCTTGGAAGTAGCAAAGTGACAGGTCTTAATTCCCCTTACATCAATTTATCAGACAAAATTTCCTCTAATAGATGGACTGGCCACCAAAGACAACCCAAGGATCTATTTATTCCTTATTGCAGTCAGGAAGCCAGCAGCTGGGGGAGGAAATCCTAAGAATTTCAAATTGCTTTTTGGCCTCATAACAATGTTCCTGGAAAACAATTCACCTCCTTGATTACAATCATGACACTAATATAATTTCTTAGTTGTAATTAAACAAGAAAGCAATGAAGACACAGTTATATAGAAGATAGTACTACAAATAAACCTCTAGAAGTAATCAAAATACATCTTTCAGTGGTGCTCCCCAAAGAGATACACCATTCTTCTTCAAAGGAAGTTCTTAACCTGGGGTCTATGAACCCCCAAGGGACCCATGAAGAGATTTCAGGGGTCTATGAACTTGAATCAGGAAAACAATTTCATCTTTGTTTTCACTAACCTTCAACTGAAATTCAGCATGCCCTTCCATCATGAACACAAGCAACAATCCACAATAGTATTGGGCTTCACCAAACTGCCAAATAGATCCATGATGTGTACACATAAGAAGATTAAGAACCCCTGTCTATTTCTTTCCATTTCTCTGAATGACAGACTCTTCGAGTTGGACAGTATCTCAGCAGCCATTCAGGGATGGGAAACCCACAGCCTCAAGACCACATGTGCCCTTCTAGGTCTTTGGGTGTGGCCTTTTGACTGGGTCCAAGTTTTACAGAACAAATCCTTTTATGAAGGTGCTTTGTTCTGTGAAGTTTGGATTCAATCAAAGGGCCACACTTGAGGACTCTAGAGGGTGACATGTGGCCTCGAGGCCTTGGGTTTCCCACCCCTGTACCCCATGCCCCCAAAAAAGTTCCCTACAACAACCCCAGCATGCACTCATCCAGTTTCTTCTTGAAGATCTCCAGCAAAGGGATACCCTTTACCTCCACCTTATTGTATTTGGGGATGGTTCTAGCTTTTAGGACAGTTGTCCTTAGATCAAGCCCACAACTGCCATGCTACAATTTCCATGGTTTGCTCCTAGGTCTGATTTCTGGGACCAAGCAAAGCAATCCAATTTCTCTGCTTGAAGGCAGCTATTGCTAGAATTTGGGAACTCAGATCACAGTATCAAAATCATGTATCATGAGTAGGCTAATGAACATACTTTGGCTCATGGAAGGGGAGCAGGTGTGGTGGAAAGATCTATCATGGGCTTTCTCTGCAAGGTCAAGAAAGTCACTTCAGTTTTGTAGATCACTGCTGTGCTCACCCAGTTACCTGGTCAAGTAAGTAGTTTCCCAGAGCCTCAGCTATCATGTTGTTAGAAATAAATGTAGGTAGTGAGACTATTATCATTTGGGAATGAATGTTCCTAGAAGGGGATACAGTAGTTTGAAGATAATCCCTTAATGAAAGGAACTAGTGTCTGTCTAATAGTTATAAAGATCTGCTGTTGGTTGTTCTTTTTAAAAAAACAGAATTTAATCCTTTATTCATATAATAGCTCATTTCTTTCCTTTAAGGTTTGCCAAGCAAATGGCAAAAATTATTTCATCTGACCCTCACTGTTCTGAAGTTGTTACTATTTAAGACCCCATTTTACAATGAAGAAACTGAGGCTGAAAGAGATTGAGTGGGTTGCCCAGCATCACAGAGCCAGTATCCTAGGCAAGATCTGAACCCAGGTTTTTCTTCCTTCAAGCTTCATGTTCTATAAACCTTAATACCTTCTATAAATGTTAGCTGCTGTTACCATTACACTGCTCATGCATTTGGGAGGGGAGAGAGAAAGGAGACAGTTCGTTACTTTTTTTCCACAGTTCAATTATTCAAATAATCTTTTTTCTCTCACTAGATATTCAGACACAACTGGATAAATGGGATGAAGTTAAGTTTCATGGAGAGAGAAATAGCAAGGTCCATGCCATGGCAGAGAGGAAGTCAGCATCATCCAGGACCGGATCAAAAGAACTTTTATGGTAATATCAGGATTTAAGTCATTCGGTTCCACAAACACGTATTTGGGAAGGTCTTACCATATGTGAGTTATCAACAAACACCTGATCACACAATTCTAGGTCATGACAAAAAAAATCAAAAAAGGGTCCATCCAGTTATTTAGTGCCATGTATGTTTTCATTCATAGGCAGATGGCTGCAAAATTAACTAAAGTGGCCCAGTGTGCCCAGATAGTTCTGCCTCAGATAGCTGGTCTATGGTTGTTTAGCTAGCAATGTGGTTTTTTTTTAATTCCATTCTCTGGCTACACTGGTCATCCTCATTTATATTAATTTACATGTTAGGACCATTCAGTAGGTGAGCATGACAATGTGTTGCTGAGGACTGAAAACTAGCAACATTTTTCAAGCTTTTCAAAGCACAAAATGTTCCTGTCTCCAGTTACTCTTATGCATCTCCACTCAGAATGACATTTCAGCGTTGTATACGGATAAAATAACACTTGTAACATTGGGTGAGAAGTGTCCTAAGAAAAGCAATATTTGTTTAATAAGCCAGCATAGCCTCTGTATGGACATTGTTAGAGCTGTTGTTTATTTTCTGCACGCAATTGGACAGATCCCTGGATCGATCTAAGAGAAGTGGGGCTTCGTATTGCAGTCACTTAAATACTAAACAGAGCCAAGTGGACAGGATGGATAATCTTCATCAAAATACCATTGAGAGCTCTATTAACCGAAAAATAGCATTTAAACCAAATTAACCAGAATTCCTGGCTGGTCATCTGTAGGAGAACTGTATTTTATGTTTCTCAAGCTACATAAATTGATTAAACTCTTCCCTTGTAGGTCTTCGGAGAGTAGATCTCAGCCAGAACTGACTAGCGGGAAAAGTGCCCTCAATTCTGAGTCAGCTCCAGATTTAGACTTAGTGCCTCCAGCACAGGTAACAAAACTAATTTTCCTTCTCTTCCAGCTGTGATCCTTGTTCAACTTTTTATAACGTGTTCTTTTTAAATAAGAGGTAGTTGTTGATGAAGTCTGTCTGGATCACATTGGCAAGGTTTGAAATGTGTCCTGTATATCATGTTCCATTGTGCTCTCGGTCTTCTTGTTCTTGCTGCCTTAAGTAACTGACTTTATATTTAGCTGAGCAACGTGCTAATGAAATTCACTGTGTACCTCACACTTTTTTCCCCTTGTTCCACCATTTACTGTTCCATGATTTTGCGATACAGAATCTGTTCTACTCTAACATTCCCACTATTTATGTAACAAAACACAAGGAAGAGGAAACTGCATTTGGCGTGTTCATTCAGGTTTTGACTCTGGCACAAGGTACTATAAATCAGTGTTCTCATTAGCTGGCAGGCAGGAGTGAAAAGAAAGTAGAAAAGAAAAGTTGGTTCTGCATTTCAGCAGTGATTGGACCATTGCTGCACATTTGACACTAAAGGTGATCTGAAGCAGATGATGGATCCTGGCTGGTCACTTTATCTTCTATTCAGTCATTTAATAAGCACTTATGGAGGTGTAGAATGTAAGCTCCTTGAAGGCAGCCACTATTTCTTTTTTGTTTATGTCCCCCGAGGCTAGTGCAGTGAATGTAACATAGCAGCCATTTAATAAAGGCATTTTGAGATAGCTAGGTTACATAAAGCTGTGGTCCTGCCTCAGACACTTATCATCTATGAGACTCTAGGCAAGTCACTAACCTCTTTATGCCTCAGTTTCCTCAACTATAAAATGGGGACAATAAAAGTGTCTACTACCCAGAGCTGTTGTGAGGATCAAATGAGAGGTTGGTAAAGTGCTTAGCACAAAGCCTTGAAATATTACATGAGATCCATCAAAGGTTTTAGACTTTGTTGGAACTGGCTCTTTATTTTGTCTCATTTTACCTGAAAACTTATTGCTTCTCTTGTCTTTGATAAAAATGACTCACTGACCTCTGCCTTATGTGAATCAGCCACAATTTGAGGTCCTTTTTTGGCATATCAATGAATTGGAAAGGATGGAAGATTTTCCTGCTCAAAGGTTAGAGAAGGAAGAGGGTTAACGAAAATATGCCTGTCCAAGAAAGGGATTGACTGAGATCAAGTCAGCAGAACTAGGAGCCAGCAAAGATAAGTTAGTCACCAAGGATCTATACTATGTGAAAGAAGATCAGGCAAAACCCCAGCACTGAGTGGCACATCTGGAGGTCATAAGGTGTGCCTTTCCCCCTCTACAGATTTGACTTTCACCAGAACAAGAGCCAGAAAACCATTTCAATATCTCCTAGAATGTATTTAATGCAACTCATTGAAATGAAATGCTCAGGAAAGACTGCAAAGTCAATAAATATTCAGCAAGCCTTTTATTAAGCACCTACTATGTGAAGAGACCTGCCTTCAAGGAGGTTACATTCTAACAGGAAAGCCAATGTGTGCGTATTTAGAAAACAGATGCAAAGCAACCTTGGGGCAGGTTGGGGGGGAGGTGAGGGCAGGGAGCAGTGCGCAACAATGTCAGCCTGGGCTGTGGGACAGAAAAGGATACCTGCAGAAGGTAATGACTGAGCTAAAAAGAAGCCTGGGATTCTAAGAGACAGAGGGGAGAAGAGAAATTTGCAAGTGCAAAGGAATTTATTTGTGTGTGATTTTTATAGTATATAATCTCTATTCTCAGGGAGTTTCCTAAAATTTCATTATCACTATCCCAAAATATGTTATCTCCTTTTTGTGTGTGAAGCAATCAGGGTTAAGTGACTTGTACAGGGTCACAGAGATACTAAGTGTCAAGGGTCTGAAGCTGGATTTGAATTCAGATCCTTCTGATTCCAGGGCTGGTGTTCTATTTACTATACCACCTAACTGACCCAAAGCATGTTATTTCTTAGTCTTCTCTCCCACCCTGATTCTTTTCTTATACACTTCCTTTCATTGATTCAGAGCCCTTACACTGGGACTATATAATAATGAAAATGTTGTTATTTTTGGTCCAGACCTGGGATTTCATCTGAGGAGGAAAGTCCCAGAAAAAAACCCTCCCTCAAAGAAACAACTCTTCTGAAACATGAGAATCTTAAAGCATCACCTGGAGACCTTAAGTTTGAGTGACTTGCCCAGGGTCATACAATCAGTATAAGTCAGAGACAGGATCTGAACCTATATGACAAATCCCCATAGTGTAAGTGTAGATCCGAAAATATCATTATTGATAAATAAACTGGGCTGGGATTGGAGCACCACTACAGAAAAGTGTATCACCCAGAATCTGTCAGAGTATTGGGCTCCAAAAATTTAAGAGCAGCGTGGTTATAGATGTCACCATGCCAAACTCACATCACTTCCAAACTACATGAAACAAGGCTCTGGGAATATAGACATTTAGAAGAAATCAAAACTGTGTTGGGAAAAAGAAAAAGAACACATCATGGCCATAGTCCTGTTGCAAAGCACTCAACCTCCTTTGTCCTATTTGAATCATACAACTTAAGAGGTAGATGCTACTATTATCCTCATTTTACAGATGGGGAAATGGAGGCTAAGAGGTTTAAGTCGTTTTTCCCAAGGTCACCCAGCTAATAAACATTGACAATAACATTTGAAGTCAAGACTTCCTGGATTCAGGCCCATCACTCTATTTGCCCTCCCATGTGTTTCCTTCAGTTCACTCAAAGAGGAAGTGAATCATAACACTGAGAATCGAACTCAGCTTCTCTAACTCCAGGTCATAGATCAAAGGAGCTAACATATATAAAGTGCTTTTGCATCCTTAAAATGTTATAAAAATGCAAGCAATTATTATTATAGCCTCATCAGTATAGAGCTTGACAGGACATCAGAAGCCAACCCTATTCTAATTCTTTCATTATACAACTGAGACAGCTGAGGTGCAGAGATGGATCGACTTGCTCAACATCATAGAGTGACAGATTTAGGACTGCAAGGGGCCTCAAAGGCCATCCACTGAAGCCCTTAGATTTTACAGATAAGGAAACTGAGGCACAGGGAAGATAAGTGGTTTGCCTAAAGCCAAGAGTTAGCAACTGGTACAAACAGGATTTGACCCCAGGTCAGCTGACCCCCCCAAAGCAAACCCTCTTTCTCCATACCCCCCTTTCTCTTCTCACTACACCATATTGCTAGAGACCCAGGAAGATAGGGAAGTGATAAGAGGTGGTAAAATTAATTAGAAATCTGCCAGGCACTGTGCTAAACCCTGGGGATGCAAAGAATGGCAAAAACACAGGCCTTGCCCTCAAAGAGCTTACATTCTACCAGTGCTCCCAACCCAGGCTCCCCAGTAGGAAAATCCTAGGTTGCTGTTCCAAGCCCTCCCCTGGAACCATGAATATAGATTCTTTGTTTAAGATTCCAAGGCATGTAATTTTTTATGCATAATGAATGTACCATGAAAAACATCTTTTCTTCCCATGTGCTCTTTCTAAATATATCCTCCTTTGAAATGACAACTTTTCCTAAAGCCAAATCGAGATGTTTCTTCATAGGTACCTTGGAGATTTGCACTCTGCAGAAGTAGGTGTTGCCCATTACATAAACCTGGATCCCTGGGACAATTTAATGCAGCAACAAAATGTTTGTTTGAGCAGCAGAGGAGGCTTGGTGGGAGGCAGGACATTATATGCAACCTTATGGGGGAGGAGGATTAGCTGGGGTCATCAGTTACCATAGAAACGCAACATTGCCTTGCCTTACTAATACACCACTGATTCTCCCGCTGGCTGCCTGGATGCTTGCTTACTTCATCTCCATTCTACCTGGTACAGGTGTCCTTCTGGTTACAAAAGGCATATTTCTGTAAGGTGAAATGCATACTAAAGGCATAAGGAAACCCGTCGCTGCTTAAGTGGTTCCCATAGTGAACACAGAACAGCTAGGAAGTGCAGTGAATAGAGCTAACAGCCTGGAGTCAGGAAGACTCAACTTTGTGAGTTCAAATCTGGCCTCAGACACTTCCTAGCCTTGTGATCCTAGGCAGGTTATTTGACCCCGTTTGCCTTAGGTCCTCATCTGTACAATGAGCTGTAGAAGGAAATAGCAAATCATTCCAGTATTTCTACGAAGAAAACCCCAAATGGGGTCACCAAGAGTCATACATGACGAAAGATGATTGAACAACAAAAATAATGAATATATGCTCATGGAGGGCAGAGCCTGTTCCATTCTTTGTCTTTGTAACCCAAGCACAGTGCTTGGCACCTGATAAATATTTGTTGAATGGATAAATGAATGAAGTTCTGTGTTGAAAGTCACTTCAGAGGCCACCATTCCCCACAAGTGGTCATTCAAACCTCCATTAGGAGAGAATTCACTATCACACAAGGAAGCCCATTCTAATCTGGGGGGGGGGGGTAGAAAGAGAGAGAGAGAAGGATGGATGGATAGATAGATAGATAGACAGATAGATAAAGAGATACTAAATATGTATATGAAGAGATAGAAAGCAAAAGAGGGCAAACTCTAGATTTATTAAGTACTTACTATGTACTAGGCACTGTGCTAAGCTCTGGGGATCAAATCAAGAAATCAAGACAGTTACTGCTCTCAAGGAGCTTACATTCTAATGGGGAAGACAATATATAAAGGGGAGCTGAAAGGGAAGAAGAACAGCACTCAGATGGGGGTGGGGAGAAGCAAGACAACTGCTGAGGAGGTAGAGGAGATGCTGGGAAGTAGCGTAGAGGCCTGGGCCCTGGCAATAGATTTTTGTAGCATTAGGAGTCTTTTTTATTAAGTTAATAGTCACTTCCTGATTTATCTCCTTGTTTTTTTATTTGTATACTTGCTTATCGAATTTGCTCAAGACAAGGAAATTTGTAATTATGATGTAATCTGTGGCTCAAGATCCCAACTTTAAGCTGACATAGAATATAGTAATAACTCAGTAAAGTTCCAGTCCCCTCTCTGAGCATCAAGTCCTCAGAAACATCTGAAATTT